ACATTAAAAGGGAAATTGAGTGTGGGAAAATATGTCCTCCATTGTTTTTAATGTTTTAGTGTGTTAAATTTCATCATTACCAACGAATGAAGTGCGAAGCCAAAATCAATGTAGCTTCATTACAAGTATCTCTTCCGGAGAGTGGAAGGTGATTCTTCTATTTCGTCATATCTATTTCACTTTCAAGGTACATGTGCTTTCGACTATTCGGAATTTACAAAATTAAATTGAAAATCGCTTTATGATAGTCATGGAGGAAAAACAAACTGTGATGTCAAAGAATTCCCGATGTTATTCTACTCTATGCTATATTTCCAGTCTTCATGAAGCTCCTTATATATATATATATATATATAGAGAGAGAGAGAGAGAGAGAGAGAGTTTCTACAAAAATATTAGCAAATTTTATATAAAGTGACGGGTTTTTGCAAATATAAATAGTGTATTGTTATAATTTGATACGGTAATGTTTAGAAGGTAACTTTCAAATCAATGAGGTTCTTCTTATTATTATTCATAATTATGAATATAAAGCATCCTTTTCATTAAAACCGTGATCTCTGCTGATATCGCAAAAAAGTAAATTATTTGTATTAAGAAAAAACTTTATACTACAACGCATTCGCAGTAAAATACGAAAAGGGATCAACTAATCAAGACGATCATAAAAATTGTAGGCACACTAGTTCTTTGTTGTAAAGTAATATTTTCTATTGGGCATATAAAAATGCATCATAACCTTTCAACTTTAACCGGTAAAACATGGTAGAAGAGTTGAAATTGAGGAAGTGAAGGCAGATTGGTGTTGAAAATAACATGATGTCTTCCTTAACTGTGTCTAGGACACTTCTCGTGCTCTTTTTCATTATGAAAAGTAAGGCGTATGGTGAGTAAAGTATATATCCTTTCTGTTTGAATGTCTATGATAAAATGAGATATGCGGTTTTAGTGGTAAAAGTGGATATGTTTTTAGGAGTAAAATCTTCCAAAGTGTGTATAAGCAGGACCTGTAATTAGCAACATGGGATAATTTTTAAATGTAAAATATCAAAACTTGTAATTTTGAATAATTTTAGCATTTTATGACCATTTCTTAAGAAAGATGCATGTGTGCTTTTTTTCAAGTTTTAGTTTAAAAACGCATTGATATCGCCAAAAGACTGAGAGCTCAAGTATATCATATTTTTAAAAATCTATAAATTCATCAATTATTAACAAAACGGCTTGCATCTATCTCAAATGATGTATAATTAGAATGGCTTACTGTCGAGTAAAAGATGAAGAAAATGAACATATAAACCAGATGTATTTCTTTCCATTTTTTTACGCAGTTGATTGTCAATTTTACAGATAAAGTTGTTTTTTTTTAAATCGTTATGAATTGAAAAGTATAATTAAAGATCACTTTCTTCGAATGGGACGTTAAACAACATACAATCAATCAATCAATCTTCATTTGTTTTATTATCATTCACATAATATAAACAGTCAGGAATTAATATTGAATGTAGAATACTTGTATTCTTAAAGGTGCTTAGACACAGATTTGAACTTAATATTTTCTCAAATTTTCTGTGTAATATCACGACTTATATATTGCAATAGCATTTCACACGAAAATATATTAATCACAAACTTATTTTATCTGGAAATTATTGGAACTACGAATTCCGGGACGCGTTTGATTAACACATCTTTGCACTTACACAAATTTTAACTTTATCCTTAATATTTAAGAAAAGAAGCGATTTTGATATGTATTAATGAAAAATATTACATATATAATCCGGAAAATTCTGAGTAGAAATGTTCGAAAGCAAAACCAACTAACCAGCTAACCAGTATTGTCAGTCCATGCTCTGTGATGTGTACAGAGTTTAACATATTGAACACACCAGTGAAACGTAAACTGTTTTTGTAAACAGGGCTCTGTTATTGTTAATGTTTACGATTCACTGGGTGTGTTCAATTGTTAAACTCTGTACACACCACTGAGCACGGATTTACAATACTGTGAGTGGGTTTTGCTTTCGAACATTTCTACTCTGATTTTTTTTTTTTTGGGTTATAGTTCTAATATTTTTCATTAATACACAACAAAATTGCCACTTTTCTTAAGTATTAAGAGTAAAATTAAAATATGTGAAAGCGCAAGGATGTGTCAATCCAACGCGTCCAGAAATTCGAAGTTTTAATAACTTCGAGATGAAATAAGATTTTTATTATATTTTAGTATGAAATGCTCTAGCAACATATAAGTCATGAAATTATCCAGAAAATTTGAGAAAATTTTTTAAACTTCAGATCTGTGTCCAAGCACCTTTAAAATACAATTAAGTAAAATCATTACATCATGCATCATGCAAGCTGCAAAAGAAAGAATATTTGATGAACAAGCCACTACGGAGAACTTGGAAGAGTTTTAAATAACTGCTCGAATGAAATGACAATACTTCATTCATCATTAAAAAAAACAACTAGAAATCATTTAGGAGCTACATGTATGAGACAGGATAGAATTTTAAGGGTCCAGAAGGAAATAATAAGTTAAATATAGATAAATAAAATTCATGCATTTTGATTTACAATGGAAATTAAAATAATATTAGAATAGAGGACGCGGGTAAATAGAGAATTTAAAGTTAAAGGAATAAAAGCCTCAGAAATCTTCCTTGTAGATAATTTATTAGAAGACCTTGAGACAACTGTTTTCACTAACGGGAACCTAACAGTCAATGGAACGGAGAATATCATTGATGGGAATGTTTCTACATGTCTAGACATTCGTCGTTCCTATAAATCGACATGGTATTTGCAACTGGACTTTAAAACTGTGAAGAGTTTCTACGAAGTTGTTCTCTATCTTGGTAACATATTTCTTATATTAAACTTTTTTTGAACTTTTTTACGCTTGCTGAATGATAATTAACTCATCAGAAGTCTCATTGCAAAGCCTTCGGCCTTAGATGTATTTATTTTGTACATATGAATTATGATTGTTTTGAAAGTTCAAAAAGCTCATTCAACATACGAGATTCAAAATATGAAGAACGAGATACTTATTTATGGGGGATACACATTATTTTCAGGATATTTACTTGATTCATGAACGAATATAGATTCCCCCTTTTTTTCTATTTTAGACTTGTCATTATGTGTTCCTTGCTGTATAATATTTTCACTGACATAATAATGATATACATGTATATTATTAATGCAGTTTACTGTTGCCCTTTATTTGTTTATTTTTTTAACGTCCCTTCGAAAAATTTTCACTCATATTGCGACGCCAGCACTTGCCTGCTAAGGGCTGCAATTTTAGACCTGTACTAGGCACTTAGGGCCTTCGAGCACTGAGGAATCTTTTTCGTGCCAGCACCCACTGCGACACAGGACTTCGGTTATATGGTCTCATCAAAAGGACCGTAGTGGGATTCGAACCCGCGACGTAAGGATCAACTCCTTACTCTGCGACTCTAGAGCAAAAGCTCTAACCACTGTGGCATGCGGGCGACTAATTGCTACTTGTACATGTTCATGCAAAACAACATACGAGGGTTGTTCCAGCAAAACGCGGAAAATTTTTAATATTTTTTGTTTACTAGAATTTAAGAATTGGTATGCATCATTATCCTAATTCTTTAAATACTATATAGAAATGTCAACGACATATATCTGTAAATTACATTTTTTTCTTTGTTAAACGAATCTTACGTAATAGCTCTCGGCGCAACACAGACAACATCAAAAAGCAATTTATGGCGTTTGTAAATTTATTCAGGATTTTTTTTTTTTTTTTTTTTTTAATTTTAAAGATTTTACTGTTGCAGAAATTCGACACAACATTTGATTAGCAAAGTACTCGTCTTGGACATACTTTAAACATCGAATGATCACGAAATTAATTCTTTGAATAGACATGTACAATACAATTTCCTAGCTCACATCATAAACTTCTCGAGTAGTTAAAAGGCGATCCCTACATATGACGAGAAGCTCATGACCTTTCAGTTTGTCATTTTTAGGGGCTCTACCAAGTACCTCTACCATCCAATAACTAGAAGAGTCATTCTTGAACCTCTTGTCTGACGAACAAACCGGTGTCCGAGACACCTGTTCGTAGCATTCTTTTGTTTACATCTCCTATAAAATATGTCCCGTACGGACAGGAGTTAAACCCCGTTCAGTATAGTACTGAATGATAATTTGGTGCGCCATACTAAGGTCCAACGTCGCCAATAACTTAATAACAATAGCAATTTGCAAAATTTAACGGAAAATGTTTGTATACATAACGTCAAGTAATTGTCATTTCTAATGTAATATTCGTGAATTTTTACAAAATGGTGAATTTATTCCAGATCATAGAGTTTTTGTTGCTGAAACTTTGTCACATTATATTCCTACAATCTGGAGATACACAAAACATCAATAACAATGATATTTCAAGAAGTGAAAAAAATGCCGAATACCCCCCAAAAAATGCCGTGCGCCGAATATCGATATTTAATACCCTTTAAAGGCCGTTTTCATTTTCAAAGGATATCACAACGTCATAATATTGAGTCAAAATAACGACATTGTAATATCCCAACAATGTTTAATAAATAAAAAAAAATCTGGTCGGTTACGGGATATTTAAAAAGTTCGCTTTCCTGAGACAACCTTTGTATTTGCCCAAAACGTTTATCCTAATAAATGACTAAATGAAATACTTAAGAAATATAGTGTGGCAACGCTGTAGAGGGACTGTGTAATGTTTACTAGAATGAACTCATTGATTTCTTTTTACAGATTCAAAGTATCTCTACTATCCCTATAAGTATTCCTACTATATACAACTATCAATTTACGAACGTAATTCAAGTTTTGTGGAGGCTGGATCTCTATGCGAATCAGAATACGTGGACACTTTATACAACAAATCTAATATCGTCAAAATAAAGTGCATGGATCAAGGGCGTTTTATCAAATTACAATTAAGCTCACGTAGAAAATATCCTTTCTTCATTTGTGACATCATTATAACAGGTAAAGGTGTTTTTATTATTGATTTTTTTATTAGTTTGATGCAAACCATTACATACCTATATTTCATAATCATTGTAGAAGAACACTGAACGATTTTGTAACGTATCCTGCAGTTAATGCCTTAAAATCAGGTCATTATGCCCTATTCAAGCTTTTTTATTTGTATGTACACATTTAATAATTCAAAGCATCTAAAGAGTATATAGTAATAAGCATTGAAGTTTTAATGTGTAAAATTTTTTACCAGCTAACAATTTTATTAGGTTTGATTTGTGATCTATTAATTTGACTTATTGTGTACGTTTTGAAAAAAAACAATCCAAAGGAAATAATTGTGATGAACACCAGTTACAAACTGTTGTTTATATTACTATTTAACAGCACATGGCTTACTTGGTCAGAAAATAAAGATTGCATATCTTTTTTTAGGGAATCAATGAAATGAAATATAAAAACCCTTGAGTATATAGAGCATAATAGAAAAAAACTGTTTTAGGATTTAAAGCAGAAATTCTATGTTTATAAGAAAAGCAGATTCAAATTAATACCCCCACCCCCCACCCCACCCCCTTCATTTTTAAGTTTGTCACAGATACATGTAATAAAATTATCAAATATTCATCTAGGACTATTTTGTCAGAGATTTTTAAACAGAAAATCTTTTAGCATAGTTAAAATGTGTGAAGGTGTGCTAAAATCGAACAATCTACATGCCATCAATATTGTTGTTGATGATAATTTACAAAATAGCACAATACGAGTGAGTGCATCTCCAACAATATTGGATTCTTTCTTCGAGGCAAAATAATATTGATAAAATTTGTAACTGTTCTACTTTAAAACTTAATTCGTTTTGCTCTAGGATGTGACAATGGAATGTTCGGTAAGAATTGCACCAGGAATTGCTCAGAAAACTGTGTTGGAAAATCATGTGATATTTTGAATGGGAAATGTTTGAGCGGAATGTGTTCAGATGGTTGGCAAGGAGAAGATTGCAATCAGAGTATGCAAGATTTCAATGTTATGATTATGTTTGATTCGTGTACACGGCAAATTTGACTTTTTTTATGTTAAAAATTTTAGATTATTTCAAAGCAAGTGCAAATTTAATTTTTAAACTTTATTTATCTCCCACCGTTCCAGTATTATGTTGCTGTATGGGTCATTGCTTATGAATCTAAAATATTCGGCATTTTCATCCCTCTTTACAAAAATTTATAAAAATCTCTTTTTCTACCTATCCTGAGGTACATATTCTCCATTCAGTTTATAGGACACTGCTTTTACAGAATTTAATTCCCAATTGAATTCTTAAGTACATTCACGTTATAGTTTATTGAAATCAATGCGCAAATTATGTTATTTTGCTGATAAACAAACATGTAGAAGAGAAACAGACTTGCGAACAGAAATGAATATATAACCTCCTTTCACTTTCTTTGATGGACGTTGGGTTATGTGAAGAAGTCGGTAAATTACTTTGTTTCACAACCCAGGGTTAAACTTGACAGAAACAAACTTCTTTAAAGTTCAACGTCTTCAATTAAAAATTTTTCTACAGGAACTAAATTTTCGGTCCAATGTAATAAATGAATATTAATTTCAAATTTTAATATTTTTGAAATTGGCACAAGTATGCAAAAACAATTATAGATTTATGGTAGTGCAGAGGAAATTCGGACTAATATTTGTTTCCTTTTTTTCATCAATTCTTTTTTCTCTAAATGTCATGCTAAAAATTCCTTTTTTTAAAGACTATCTTCACCTTTTTCATTACATTCAGTTGAGTTTTTCCCGTCGAAGTATATGTCATCCTTAAGTGTCAATTTTCGATTTTATTTACAAATCAGAATGTAACAATGGAACATATGGAACTCAGTGTAAATCACACTGTGGAAACTGTAGAGATAGGGAGTTTTGTGATCACGTGACCGGATATTGTAAAGGAGGTTGTGAAGATGGATCGAAGGGAGATAAATGTGACAAAGGTAAGAAATATTCATTTCCAGAATAATTCCTAATAATGCGTTTAATGTTTGAAAACAATCTGAATGACTCTTGTCAGTTATCCATGTACACAATATCATTGCCATTAAATGTTTAAACATTGCTTAAAACTTCGTATCACATCTGTATTTATATTTAGATTTTCTTTATAAAAACTTAGTTTGTCTTGATGGCACCTTTGGTTTGAATTGTATGGGCAAATGTGGCAAGTGCAGAGGAGGCCAGAGTTGTGACAAGTCCTCTGGGTTTTGTTTGAATGGCTGTGAGAATGGGTATTTTGGAGAAAAATGCATATTACGTAAGTATTTTAACTGCATTTTTAAATCGTAAGCTAAATGAATGATATTGAAATATATAAAATGAGTGTCAATGGTTTTAAGCAAGTCGTTGAAACATATGTCAAATAATGTAAACAATTTCGCTAGTCTCTCCACATTGTTGGAAGGGCAAAATGGGGGAGGTGAGTTCAAAAATAATGGATTAAATTCACTATTTTTGTCTAAATTCACTGACTAATGAAGAATGTCCCGATGGAACATATGGATACCAATGTAACTCATCTTGTGGAAATTGTAAAGACATGAAAGATTGTCATCACGTGACCGGATATTGTAATGGAAGTTGTGCTGATGGATCAATGGGAGTGAAATGTGACAAAGGTTAAGTTTTTGAAATGCTACACAATTATATTTTTTGAATTTCCTAATTGTTTTGTAAAGTTTTTCACAAATGTTAAGTTTATGCATTGTCTTGTATTATTGCAGAGTGTCCGTTTGGATTTTACGGAAAAGATTGTTCTGAACGTTGCAGTATCTCTTGTGGTTCTAAATCTGAACAGAAAAGTATATCAGGTTGTACAAGTTATGCTGATACATTTCAATATCCAATGTACTGATTGTGATTGTGATTGATAGTGATTGTACTGTGTGTGAGAGAGGGTCTTTATTCTTTTGTTTTTATCTTTCTAAATTTTTTTTAAATTTTATTCATTTGTTTTTTTTAATCAGTTTTCTATAAGATTAGGAGGCTTATAGAGGCTTCCTTTGTAAAACATGACATTGTTTATCATTCACAGGGGCAAATTATATATTGAAAAAAAAATACCCCAAACTCCTTAACAGAGAGATAATTGCATATTACTGATCAGTGGATTTTTGTCCCGATATTATTTATGTCTTCGGACAAAAATGTATGAAATTCTTTTTAGGACCATATTATTATATTCTTATAACCGTGATACACAGAAAGCTCATGCAAGACAAACCTAATCCACAAAGTGATGTGTGCATATTGATATGGTGACAAATAGCGCTATGAAATTAAGCCTAACATGAATAGCTTTCATGTGGTATGTAATGTGGAAGGAGCAAAAGGATAAAACGTACCTACATTGTCTGTAGGACGTTGATATTGGTGTTAATGAATGTTGATAAATCTCTTGTTTGTTTGAGGGTTTTTTTTAGATCACCCATGACATTTTGTTTCGTTACTTACAAGTAAAATCATTCACTGTTTTAAATGCGGTACATGCATTGCTTGCAAAATGAAAAAAAAAGAATAAATAAAAGTTTTATATTTTAATTGAAGTATTCTTCCAGATTATACAAAAGATAAAAAGAAGTAATGATAAGAGTGTTTTATTTCATCAGATGAGGTAAATACATGTAAACCTACTACGGAAGGTGATAACAATGTTATCGTATATGCTTTGGGGACTGTACTGATATTTTCCTTGTTGGCGAATATTATTCTTGTGGCAATGTGCATTATAAGGTAAAGCTCTTGATAAAACATTGTGACAAATCATTCTAAGAAGAATTCTTTTGTTGACCATTTATAAATATATTTTAATCAGACAGATGTTTCTATTCAGAATATGCTATATAAATATGTTTGAAATATTTCTTGATGAAGTTAAACATTTTTTTTTTCAAATTAAGATTTCATAGAAAACGGAAGGATGAGGTTTATAGCAAACCATCACCGATGTATGTAAACATAAGAGATGGACACAGAAAGAACAATCAACCTTTAGAAGGAATGGCGATAGACCAACAGAATGTACAGTATGAGTCTTTGGGAGTTCCATCCCACGAAACTCATTACGATGCCTTAAAATAAAGAATGTCGTACAAATTGACCACATTGTCAGAGTACTTAAAATTACTAACTTAAGGTGGAGCATGTACGATTTTTACATCTTTTGCATAGAACAATTGAAGTAAACATACAATAGGGAATAAGCATCTTTGTGAAACATAACCTTGCAACGTTAGTATTACTGCAAATTATTCTACTAAATAGTCTGTTGATTGTTTTCAAAATAATTTTTATTATTACCATATATCTGAGAATTAAAGCTGTAACTTTTAACTGCCTTGTTGATAATTGTTGATACATGTGAAAACCTGTTACATGTTATATACATTACGAAGAGTATCAGAAATATAGTGATTGACAAATGAAAACATTTTGTACATTGTATTTCCTACACTTATATGTATATATCTATCGGTGTTAATTATTGCAGAAAGTTTTATGTATCTATTAAGTTAAGCATTCAATTTTTCCTATGTTATTTTGTTCCTTAGGTCCCTTTTAGTCATGGGAAATCACAAAATTTAAACAGATCAATTGTGTATTGTGAATTTAAAACAAACTTACAATTTAAACTCATATACATGAGCTTCATATCATACTTTAATTTTATTGTTTGGACAAGGAAGCGAAATTATAAATAAGAGCATGACTATGAATGATTTTATGAAAGGAAATATACTCTTCAGTGGTTTATGACAACATAAATCAAATGTTTTTATTTTCCGACACGTTTATGCTTATTAATATCTTTTTTATGGTCATTGCCAGTACAAGGAGGTGGATTTTAAGCTGTTAAAGTTTAAGTATGGTAAAACCGATACTTGTTCACGGTCAATGAAAAGTTTATGTCAATTTGCAGTTCAATGCTTGATATATTCTTTAATTGAAAATGAAAGGCTTAGAAATCTCAAAGGCTTTTGTAAAAATGTACATAACCTATGTTCTTATAATTTTAAATTCATATGAATTTCAAACTAAAAAAAATATTTATTATTCTGAATAGTTTTAAAACTGTTGGAGGAAATAAATGAGATATTCATAAGACTTTTAGCTTAAAAATGGAGAGAGAAACTTGATATCGTGAAATATTAGTAATAAAAGGAAACCATGCCAAAATCAATAATTGTTAAAATACTTCTCCCGTTTGGACAGTTAAAAAAGATATACTTTTTTCCTCCTAATTTTTGTATTAAATTCACTATCCTTTTATTTAAATAAATTCACAATTGGAAATTTCATACTACGAAATCATATAGCAAAGACATTCAAACAACTTCAGGCAGTTGTATTTGTCAATTGTTTTCAATACAATATCAATTTAGTGTTTTAGCTGTTTATTTATCTTTTTAAAGAGCAACTTGTTTATGATTGGAATTCCCCACTTCGTCATGACTCTCTTTCTCTCTTTCTCTCTCTCTCTCTCTCTCTCTCTCTCTTAATTTCACCAACAATTTTCGATAACCGTTTTATTTCTATGATTTGATGATTGCTAAATCAAACGCTGTTTTTTTCGAATTTGAGAAATAAAATGGCTTTGGGTATACATTGTACTTGTTGACCTACATCTGACATTATTTTCGGTAACGTGTAGTAAGGATTTCAATTAGTCAGTTAGGGAATATATATATATATATATAATCAATGATTATATGATCAAACTTATATGATTATTCATGTATATATTACTTGAATACAAGTCTCAAAGGACTTTCTGTTGAAAAATTTAAATTTTAGCTCGTTCGTAATTATTCGCAGATTCATACTTTAGATCAGATTTTATACTTGTTAAATTGATAGCTTACAAAGGCCATTTGTTTTGCAAATCATAGCCTCTCAAATCAAACATGGCTACAAAAGAGATACAAAGGTTTACTTAGGAATATCTAATCCTCCTTAATACAATCAAAAGACATCTGTCATCAATTTCTTAAAATTAATTTTAACTTACCAACTTAACAAAAGTATTGTAGAGTAAGGTTTCCTTTATCATTAGCTAATAATTTAACCGGTAATAAAATGATAAATTTGAATTTTTCTGAATATCTCCATATGACTTTTTTTGCTTTATTAAGAGCAAAAACAATTTGAAAAAGAAAACCGTTGAAAAGAAAGAATTACACGCTTTACTTTTATACCCTCTGTGAATAAAACATTGGAAAAAGAAAGACACTGGCTGACAAGTCACTCACATGGTATCACTCTGATGGGGCTATAACGAATACAGACTCCAACAGAATGGTTGGAACCCCTAGAATTGTCCTTGGATACATAAAGCAGTCGTCTTATATAGTCTTCAGATAGCCAGTTTTGGTATAAAATAGACAACATCTTTGCAGGAATTAAAGATGGTAAAGTTTCGATCAGAGATGTTTTGACGACTTTTTTTTTTCTTCTGGACACGATATGTTCCATTTCCAAAATTCTCGAATGGAACGTAAAACAACAATCAATCAATCTTTTATATTGTGCGCTGTTTATATGCGTTTTCATACTAATAATATATTTTAGTGTTTTCGCATGGTGATTGATTGATTGATTGTATATTGTCTTACCTCCCGTTCGAGAATTTTTCACTCATATAAAGATGTCACCATATACCGGTGAAGGGCTTCAAATTTTGACCTTAACTCGGCACTTAGGGCCATTCAGCAGTGAGGATTCTTTATCGTGCCAACGCCTACTATGACACTGTGACCTCGGTTTTAAGGTCCCGTGACTTTCACTTCTTGTGCCGGGCGAAGGAACAGCCACTACCTATGTTTAAATCTTAGGTTTGACGCGGCGCGGAGAACGAGAATCGAACCCGGGCCTCCAGATCACGAAGCGAACGCCCTACTACTATGCTTTGGAGTGTGCACTTGTCACTGATTTCTTTTGATATTCATGAAAAATCAAGGGACCCCACGTTCAAAACGCAACTAGGTTGTTTATATCTATTGTTTTACATTTTCAGATGTTTGCTGCAAATAGGTAAGACCTCAGGTTCCAAAACAATAAAATAAAAATAGACTTGAGTCAAAATTTTCATTTTTTATATGTTGAACTTAATTTTTCAAATGTAATTAAAAAGATCCTATATTTGTATAGTAGTCAAATACAAATATATGGGGAAAATTTTTGATGATCAAACTTACTTCACAATTTATATTCATTTAAAATTTTCATTTACGTCTGTTCTCAGTTTATGGTCTTGAGGCAGTTAATAATATAATTTAAATCTTAAGGCTTTTAATAAGGGTTCAAAATTTGAGGAGTAACTGGGGAGCACAGATAAGCCCTACTGAGACTTGTTATATTCCATCATATTTTAAGTTGAAGTCTACACTTTGTATTTCCTATTATAGTTATTCCCATGCCGTTGCATCCAAAATTTTCAATTATAAAGAGTGCGTATATATTGACCATCTGAAAACAAAATCTTCCGAAGTGTTTTTGTATTTCCTCTTCTTCTAACTATAGTCCAACTGGACACATCATTAAGGTGATGTAAGTACAGTTAAAAATGACGACCTAAAAGATATCATCTTAAAGGGTCCTAAGTTCAGAAAGCCCAGATATTTCACATGGCGACAGAACTTCATTTCTATTCTGTATTACGTAAAGGGGTATGATAGACGATGGCCTAAATATGAGGAAGACATTGACACTGGATAAAGCATTTCAGATGTATATTAAAGAATCAAATTAGAAAATTAAGGGGCAAAATGTAAACTATCCATCCTTACGCTCTAACCACTACGCCACTCCGACGACGCAACAACATATTCAAGAAATGGTGTAAACCAAATGTGGATTGTAAAAAGACTCCAAAGAATTTTTGAAAAATTTAAAATCTGAAAACTTTTCAAACATCAATAGCATTCAATCACTTTATACATACATTCCTCAGGATAATTACAGAACAGACTTTTTGACATCATAGGCAACTGTTCCTCAGTAAAAATGGAACTCGTAAAGAGCAAGAGCCACGAACCATCAAAAATGGCCCTGTCTCAAAAAGTAACGGGGTTTTGTCAATTGATAGTGTAGACTTTTAGCTTCTCTTTGCCGTTTTTTTTTTTTCGATATCGATTATATTTTTTGAAAAAGAGAGTTTGAAGTATGACGGTGTTTTAAAAGAAAAATGCTAGTAGAACGTCATTTTTTGAAACGTAACGTCGTAGGGCGGAAAAATTACCTTGAGCGATTTTACATATGTGACTTTGAATTAAAACTAGTATTAATTGGGATAGATATTTATTATCTTACTAATAAACTTCATAATTAATTTAAGACAATTAAGGACAGTTGGAAATTGATTTCACATCGCAGTCTTGATGGCAACTGCGTGTTTAACTGATTGAAATTTATAGATACATGTACAGTGAAAATAATCTGTGTTACTGTCTCGGAAAGTTTTCACTCTACCTGGTCCCTATGCTAATATAATTTTTAAGAAGGAACATTGTATTTCTATCCCTTGAACACATTTTTGTGCGATGCATCGCTCCTAATTACATGTAAGTATTGAGTATTGAACATCATTAAAAAAACATACGACTTGCTTCAAATGACGATAGCCTGTCCAACTTAGTTTTCCGGACTTTTTCCTACACGCCTGCAAATATTAGCTGATCTTTGGAATGCGCGTCCAGGCACGAAGTTTGTTTTTCAAAGTGGGGAAGAGGGCAGTCCGAAAAAAAAAAAACGAGATACCTGAAATGATCTTAAAACGAATGTTTCTAAACTGAAGAACTACAATGTAATTCAATAAATGGATAGAAGTAATTGCAAAAAAATTTGTTTAAATGGAAATAGACTTTTAATGCGAAATTCTTAGATCCTTAACTTGCGAGTATTTTAACATATAAAAGTTCTAAATGATTTGGAAAAAGGGAGGAAGTAAAAAGTTGGAAAGACTTGTTTCTAATCCCTTTATATTCATTTGTAACAATATTTTGAACGTCGTTTTCGAAACAGAGACATAGATTAATTGAAAAGGGGTGTCGCAACTTATCAGAATGGTTTATTAAGCAAACAAAACT